CTCGGCGTTCTGGATGGCGGTGGGATTTTTGTCGCGAGGTGAGCCTCACTGGCTTCCCTGCGGGCTTTTACCACCACGAGGTTTACAGCGTCTTCGAACATGATTTGATGATTTCTCCCACTCGCACGCGGCAATGCTTCGTCGCGACTTTTGGACGGGACTTCGCCGCTCGACGCCACAGAGGACCCAAGCGGCGCTTGCACGCGCCAACTCACGCGCAGCAGGAGCCCCGCGAAATCCATCCACGCGCTTGGACGGGTCCAGCGACGCTGCCAATAGCAGCCACCCTTCGCGCAACGGCGCGCCCCCTTCTACTTCTTGCGGCGCTAGTGCCCCAGGCGAGCGCACAGACGGACCCATGATATACATTGGCGCTCAACGCGGGCCTGTCATCGTTGACTCGTTGGCCCTTCCTACTTGGAAGCATTGCGTCGGCGCTGCGCATGACGAGGGGCCCATGCCTTTTGCTACAGAAGCGTCGGTGACGACGCGGTCGGCGCCGAACCTCCCCCCTTGGTCGGCCGGCAGTCGCTGGCGCAAGACCGCCGCATTTCTCTGGGAAAACGCGGTTCATCAGCATGCGCATTTACATTCGCGGCAGGCACGTCCATGGAATGAGCTCGCCGACTGTTTGCGCGATGCTGTTGGCTCTGGCCCGGCACACCGGAACATTTGCTGCCGCGATGCATTTGCGGGCGTTGCTTTCCCGTTCGGCCCTAGCAAGGATGACGTGAACTGGCTCTCCCGCGAGCGGTTGACTGCCTAGCGGGAGGGTGAGCGCCCGCGTGATTTACACCAGACTAAGTCGCTTGAGATGAACGGAAAATCGCTCGACTGGTCGCCGCAGCCAAGCGTGCTTGCGCGGGGGGGCGCGAACCAACTAAGCCACGCGGCAGCCCCTCGGAGGCCTCGCCACGCGACCTGCGCATATTTCGCAACGGGCGATTCGACCCTCAGGGCGCGCGCTAACTGTCAGGGCTGCTTCGGCACAGTTGGACATGCGCAGGAATTCACGCGGCGGGCCCCCGAAAAAGGACAGGCGCAAGACATCGAGCAGAACAACTCGTGGCTGACGAGGCCTCTCGGCGCGAGCCAACTGTCATCCAATCAGCAGAGCTGCCAACGCATATGGCACCCTTGCTTCTCGCGTAATTATCGCGGCCATCAAGCTCTGTTTCGCCCGCGTTAAGCAGCAGGTGCATTCATGACAATGCCACGCGCCATGCTGACCCCAGAGCTCAATGACGGTCGCGTCCACAACGGCGCGCAACTTCGTCGTGTCGTCGCTGCGCGCCCCGCGCCAGGCCCACGGGAAGCGCGCGCCACGGTGGAAAGATGTTGCGTCGTTGTTGCTGCCAAGACTGACGGGCCCCCCGGCTCTAGCATCGCCCGATTTCAACATTGCCACGCCGAGTGCGCGGCCCCCACAGGCCCCCGCGACCATGAACGCGAGCGGCGCGCCGTCGACCGCCGACGCCTCCAACCGCAGCACGCGCGGCGCATGGGCGAGAGAACTGGGGTCGCGGCGCCCTGCTGCCGCGCCACAAATGGGGGGCGCCGGGGGCAGGTCGGGGGCCGCGTGCGCGGCATGCACGGTTGCACGCAGCGGCCGCGAGGCGCCCCCTGCGCAAAAGGCCCGCGCCCTGCGGACGATGAACGCGGCGCGGCCAATGAGCTCCACGACCACTCGCGCGCGCGCGCCCGGGCGGCACTGCCTCCGCTTCGACGCCCCGCGCGCGGGAGCGGCGACGCGCGGCGACGTGCGATCGGCGCGGCCACTTCAAACGCGCACTGTCGCAACTGCTGCCCGCGCCCTTCGCGCTGAATCAACGCCGCGCAGTTTCGCGCGACAGCGGCGCGCCCCGGGGGCCGCCGCGCCAGAGCCCCCAAACCGCGAGCCCCCCACAAACGCGCCGACACGCCGAGCAACAACGCGCCGGACCGTGCCCGACGCAAGAATGCCCCGCGAGGAGTTCCGCGCGCGCGGGGGGCAGATCCAGACCATCATCGATGCGCGATTCGTTTCAGAGCCTTGGTCGGCGCCCCCCCCCCCCCTTCGCCGCCCACCGCCCCCGCCCCCCCCCCCTGTTTCCGGCGCCCCTCCCCCCCCGCCTCCCGCCGCCGGCCGATGCGCCCGCCAGCCGCCCGCCGACCGCCCCCCGCGTCGGGTGGGCGATCGAGCGCGCCTGCAAACTTGAGGCGTCGCTTCTGGGATGCCTGACAGGGCAGTTACTTGCGCGGAGAAACCATCGATGACCTGAGCGGCCGAACGCGGGTGGCCGCGGCTAGGGGCGCCGCGGAAGTCGCTGAACAGAAGCGATCTGAGCTCGAGATAGCGCCCGCGGGCGCGCCGACGCATCGACGCTCGAGGTCACGAAGCCGATCGCAAGCCCCTGTCAGCAGTTAGCTGCCAACATAAGAAAGCACGACGATGGCGCGCTTGCGTTATCGGCGCGCGGCACAAAACGCGAACCCCCAAAAAGTTCGCCGACCTGCTTGCGGGCGGAAGGGCGCTCGACATCGCGGACGAAGACAGGGCCGACAACTTCGAGATTGCCTCTGTTTCGCAAATCGGCGCCGCCGACTGCAGGCCTGCGCCGAATTCGGGCGAAGCCGCCCCCGCTGTCGCGCACCTGCGGCTCCGTGCAGGCATTTCTGGAGATCGCAGTGGCTCTCATTTCATCATACTAGCACCGCTAAAGCGAGCGCGTTTGGTCCGCCGCCCCGTTTCCAGTCTGCCCAAGCGCCTCGCAAAGGTACCCCCATCGCAGCGCAAAGGCCTTCGCGTTGGAAAGGAGGGCATATGTTCGACCTGCGCAATGGCAAGGGCGCAACGACTGTTACCCCCGCTTATGCGGACGTCGCGATACGCGCGGCTACGTCTAAGTCGTTTTCGTCGACCGCGAAGACCCGCGGAGTTCCTGCTCATGCAGCGGCCAGCTCGGAGTTGCAATCAAACTGGGGCCTGACTAGCAGCACATCTCTACATGATTGCGGGCGTAGAGTACGCCCGAGCAAAAATTCTTGCGCTCGGAGCCGCGCCCGTGGATTTACTAACTGCACTCGCCAGGGCTACGCGCTGAAAGGCCTTCCCGGACCCCCCAAACCCCGTGGACACAGTCGGTGCTCGTCTCTGGAAGTCTGGGCGCGGCGCCGAGGACTCGGGCGCCCTTGCTGCTGGTTTGCTCGGGCAAGAACATTCGGCAGACAGCAGAGGCACGAACCAACAGCTCGCCGCGTTGAACAAACATCACCAACGGTCCTGTCTCGCAGTTAACGCGCGGGATGCGCGGAGACAGCCCCGGGTCCCCTTGCCGGACTCGTCGGGAAACTTCGTTATATTGCTTGCTATCCTTCGCGTGATGCACGCCGTCGAAAATCTCTTTGCCGCGCAAAAAATGTTGCACGCGAGCAAACACGTGCAACGGTCGCCCCGGCTTCTCGGCGCAGCCCGCAACCGGAGACCGATACCCCATTGGCCGATAATGTTATAGAAGTGGAAGCGCGCGCTGCCATATTTGAGGACACGTTTTTCCCGCAACGCTGTAATCACTAAGCTCAAACATCGTACCAAAGAATTGTTGCTCCGATTTTTCAAAAAGCGCTTGTTCGTTAATGGCAACGGCTGGATACGCTTCGAGTCAGAAGGGTCTCAGAAACAGCTTGTTGCCACGTCGCAATACAAGCAAGTCGCACCGTTACGTGTTCGGCTGGCTCGATGAACCCTGCAATGACTGAGAAAGTAAGGGCAGCACAAGAGACCCCAACCAACTGCGTCACAGCCTGCGCGCAAAGGCATTCCTGTTGAGACCAAGCTTGTGTTGCGCCAGGGGGGTGTTTCCACGCGAGGTTTGCACCAGTCTAGCACCTGGCCGCAGCTGAATGCCGTTGGACTGTAAACAAAAGGCTGACAGGTGTGATGCACAACGTCTCGTCACCTCTCCGGAAACATGATGTGCGCCAGGCGCCGTCGCGCGGGGCAACTACACAGTGGGAGGGCTTCGTCGCTCCAGCGATCATGATTCACTACGTTCGCAAGTGTTTGTTCACGCGTGTTTGCCTGCGCGCAGCGCGTACATTGTGCGTAATCCTTTTCACTAACCATTGGTGTGCGCAAATCGCGAACGAAGGCGGCGTCGGAGGATTGTTTTTTTTTCTGGATTGCCCAATGCGCAGATTAGCGAATTGACCGGTGGATCGCTGAAATCCGCACGCCTCGCAAACAGTTCAGACCATGTCTGGAGGCTGCCAATTTAGACCGTGAAGGGGACCGCCCGCAACTATGGGCGAAAATCCGCCGCATGGCGGAGGTCAATGAAGCCCTCGTGTGCAAGGATTGTTCCTGCGCGCGCCTTTGACAACAGCAGCTGGCAACCCATGCCTTCGCCGCGCATGGTGTCCGGCGCCACACACGCAAGCGACTTGACGTAATGCATTGCCCCGTGTGCACGCAGCGTTTTCACCCGCTAGGAACAAGAAAAGGCGACACCAACACCAACAGGGCGAGGATATGCGAGGAGCAAGGGGGGCCTCCCTGGTGGTGTGGTCCCCCCCCTCTCGCTCGAGACATCCCCAGCCTCCAGCTCGGGGAGGCATCGTGGACCTCCTCGATGCAGGTGGGCCCCCTGGTGGTGTTGGTGTCGCATCTCCCTCCTCCGAACCCGCGGCAAAGTCATCACTCATCTTGACGAGCACTCTGGGAGCTATCGCGGCGTCGTCACGCAGTGCTTCCCACGATGACAGACGGGGCGCGGAGGCCGCCACCGACCGTATAAGGAAGGACCGGAGACCAGACCATGCGGAAAACCCTGCCTGTCGGATGGTTGGGCCTTCGACTAGGGAGGCCTACGAAACGGGTTTGGGCCACAAGTCCCCCCTCCAATCCTTTCCCTCCTTCTAGTGAAGCTGGGCTGGAGAACCTCCAGAAGAATGACGCCTGCACTGACATGACCCTCCTTCTGGCGCACGATTGCTTCCACAGACGGGCGAGCTTCAGGCCGCTACAGAGAAGGACGCTCCCCTCGAACACCGCCAAACCGCCGCCCTGCCCCCCCGCGGCGCGCCGCCGAGCTGGACTCGGCAGGCAGCAGCCCAAACCGGAACAAGGCGAGCTCGACGAGCGCACGCAGCGAGGGCTGGAACGCCTCGTACGTCAGCGCGCCGAAGCCCGCCCGCTCCAGCACGAGCCGGAGCTCCTCGGGCCGGATGAAGAGGCGCCAGTCGTGCGTGCCCCTCGGAACGATCCCGACCTGGGGAAGCCGCAAGGTGCCGATACACGTCGGTCGGCAGAAGTAGGTAAGAACATGCAGTAGGAAGGCGGATAAGGTGGATTGGGTCCAGGCCCTCCCAGAGAATAGCAACACACAGCAAAATCATGTCGATTCTTGAAGTAGGAAGGCGCTTGAAGTAGATTGGGCTCTGGGAATCCAAAAATACCTAACAGCAAAACCATGTCGATTCTTGAAGTAGGAAGGCGCTTGAAGTAGATTGGAATCTGGGAATCCAAACATACCTACTTTCAACGACCGGCGCTTACCGCTGCTCCACAGGCCTCTCCAGGGGTGCACTCTGACCAGGATGTCGGAACAAATCCGGCAGTGGCGGCTGGGAACTCCCAGGAGGCCCGAGGAAGCGGAAACGAACCAAGGGCAGTGGCATCGTAAAACGACGCGAAGATCGGGATAAAATCGTATCGGGATAACTCGAAATCTCTGAGAATCGGCGGGTTTGGAGGATGTTTTCGGGTCCGCGGCCGCTCCAGAGCGTTCCGGAACGCTCTGAGAGCGCTCCGGAACGCTCTGGAGCGATTTATCCCGATCCTAGCCCTGTTTTACATCGGTGCACCGCGTCCTCCTCTGCCGACCAGGTACTCCGCCCCCAGGATGCCGACGACGTAGGACGCCACCGAGCGGTCGATCGTGTCGAAGAGGAACCGGCCCCCGGGCCTCAGCACGCGGGCCGCCTCCGCGAGCGCGCGCGGCAGGTCCAGGAGGTGCTCCAGCACGTCGCTGATGACGATGGCGTCGAAGGACTCCGCCGCGAACGGCAGCTCGTAGACGGAGCCCGCGCGGAAGGCGGCCCCCGTGCCGTGCCGCTCCGCGACGCCCCGGGCGTAGCTCAGCGCCTCCTCGGAGCGGTCGAGGCCGTGCACCTCTGCGGAAGCGGCACCCTTCGGCCATCACCAGCGTCCCGGTCCAGGGCCATCCTGGGCCCTGGGATGGTTGAAGGGGCCCTGGGGCACACAGATAAATACACACGAACAGGACTCCCCATATTTTCCTTCGTGTCTTCGCCCCCCCTTCCCATATGTTCCCATATTTTCTCGGGAATCGACGATTCATTGTGTCTGTGTGTCGCTTTTCCGCCTGGATGGTGTACTAGTATCCGCTACCGTGCTCCCTGGCACATTTGGGCGCGGCAGAATGTCCGAGAGCTGCCTGCTAGGATTGCTGTGATCTTCGTCTCGGCTGCTGTAGCCATCTTAAGGGAGAGTGCTGTGTCGCACGCGCGCAGGCGCACTCACACGCTTGTGAACGTCGTGCTGCAGCGCTGCGAATAGTTGATAGCGGACTGCGTGATGCTGCGAGGTTCAGCATCCTCCAAGCGAGTGTTTCCGTACTCGGCGTTTCGACACTGGGCGGCAGGGGGAGGGAGAGGGGGGGCTCTGGCCATCGCTCGGACGTCCAATCCCCGTGCTTTTTTCGGTTTCGTGCGTGGGTTCTTATTCGCCAAATGATCAAGGATGCTCCTCGATGGTCCCCGCCGAAAAAAAAATGCACACGTCCGAGCGATGCCAAGGGCTCTGGCTCCGGACCCTCCGCTCAATGCGACTGCTTGCAGCACGGCGTCCTGCGGGGGAAGCACCCCACCTGCTCGAAACAGGCGCCCCAAACAGCCAAGGTCAACTCTCAAGTCGGGCGGCGTGTCCCCCATGCAGGGGGATTTGCAACAAAACATTAAACATACGCAAAAAATGATCGAGAATGGTCAATCATATGCAGAAAAATAATCCCCAGACGATGTTTTTACCATTTCCGAATATCCCCCCTGTAGAGGGACAGGCCCGACTCAAGTCTACTCCATGGGGAGGGGGAGGGGGCGTGCGAGGGCCCGCGCCGATCGGCAGAGCAACGAAGGCGAGAACGACGGCCCGACAGAGCTCCGTGGAAAGGCTTCGAAGGACACAGTCCTGTCGGGCCGGGCGAAAGGGGGGAGAGCAAAAGGGGGGGGTTAAGAATCAGCTCACGTATAGCTGAGTTTCCCAGCGCCTCCCGGCGCCGGGAGGCGCCCATGCATCGAGGAATGGGCCCGGCGGCGGGGCCGAAACTGGCTGCATGCAGCAGATTTCGTAAACCCCCCTTTCCATATCCGCCCCTTTCGTCTGGCCCGATCCTGGGCCGCGTCAAAGGACACTTTTTCTTACCATGCAGAGAGCGCCCAGTGGCAGGGGGGGAGAGGGAGCGACGGCGCAGGACGAGCGCGGGGAGGGGGGGGGGGGAAGGGAGAGGGGACGGGGAAGGGAGGGGGGGGGGGGGGCGTGTCTGGGAGGGGGGGGAGGGGGCGTGTTTTTTTTTGGGGGGGGGGGGGCGCAGATGACACAGTTTTGGGCCGTGTCTGGGGGGGGGAGGGGGCGGAGGCGCCGAGGCACGCTGTGGAGAAGCTGCAGCGGGCCCTGCCTCCCGAGGCTCCCCTGGGCGACCCGACGCCCCCCCCCTGGGAGCCTCGCGGGCCCTCGGGGGCGACCGAGACGGCGCACATGAAGGCCCAGAGGTCGAGTCGGAGATCAAATGCAAAATTGATGTACCCCAAGATCTATTGGTCGTTTCGTCGAGTCGCCGAAGAAATGCAGAATTGATGTACCCCAAAATGTGTTGGTTGTTTCGTCGAATCGCCGAAGGAACACGTAGCAGTCCACGAACGTTCTTTATGTTTTCCTTTCTGGATGCGACGAAACATCAATTTCGGGGTAAAGCCGCCGACCCCTTGGGAATCGTCGGCGTGTGAGATGCTTCCCCCCGGAGCCCGGTCCGGTCGATTTGGAGGGGGGGGCGCCGTCTGGCCAAAGCTCATCAGGGGGGTTCCGGCCCTTCCCGGGCTCCCTGGAGCCCGGTCTGGTCGATTTGGAGGGGGGGGGGCGTCCGGCCCGAGCTCATCAGGGGGGGTCTGGCCCTTCCCGGGCTCCTTTTGGCCCCCAAGACGGTCCAAGAGAGCCCCGAGACGCCGAAAGATCGTACCAAGACGCCTAAGTGAGATGCTTCCTCCTCCCGACGGCCCCGTAGGCTCCCAAGAAGCCCCCAACACGGCACAAGAGGCGCCCAAAATGGCCCAAGAGGGCTCCAAGACGAGAGGGGCCCGAAAGGGGGACCACGAAACGAACATTCCAGACGTCCGCCCCTAGAGGCTCCCAAGAGGCCACTCAGGGCTCTCATAACGTCCTAGACAGCCTCGGAGCCTCTCAAAGCCGTCCCAAAACAACCTAGGAAGCCCCCAAGCAGACTCAAGGTGCTGAAGAGGCCACCCAGCCACGTTGCCACGTTGCCACAGGCCCCGAAAGACATCCCACGGGACCCCATGACCCATCAGGGTGGCCTCGGACCCACGAACCAAGCACGATGGCAGGATGGTCCGAACGCAACAGATCGAAGGCTAGGGAGGTCTGACCGCAAGTGCCCCCAACCAAGAAATCGGTGTCGGTGTCGGTTCATGTCGTGCATGGGGTTCTCCCGATAGTTGTCCCGATGGTTGTCCGGATGGTTGTCCCCCTGTTGCCCTACGAGACCCCAGGACCGTCGGAGATGAAGAACTGCACCGGATGGACCACGGGAGCGGCCCTGGGCTGGACCCCTGAGGCCTCCAAGAGGCTTCCCCAAAAACCCCAAGCACAAAAAGCGAAACACATATTTTCAGCAGGTTCGCCTTTTGACACCAGGAGGGCTCCAAAACGGCAAAAGGACCACCAGGAGAGCTCCAAGACGGACAGAGAGACTCCCAGTCAGCCGGACGGAGAACCTGAACGGACACTTCGAACATTCAGATCCAAGACGCCCCCAACGTGCCCCAGGGACCCCCAGGAAGCCCCCCAAAAAACAAAGGGGTCGGCGGTGTGGCGTAAGCCTAAGAATCAAATCTGTAGTTGATTCCCTTCTCGAAAAGGGCCGCCAACATGGGCTCACACTGCATCAAGCGGCAACCATCAGCCCCGCATCAACGCCCAAGAAGCCCCGACCAACCAAGAGGCTCCAAAACACCCCAAGGATGTGATCCTAATGGCGGCACCGACACGCCCCCGAACGCAGTGATGCTTAAAATTGTGCGATGTGTTTCGTTTTCCTCGCTCTTCGGTCGAATATCGTTCCACGGGCGGTCATCGACGGCCCCAGGAGAGCCCAATCCAAGCTGGCCAAGGAAGACCCCAGGATGAACCCAAAACGTCTTGAAAATGAACCCAGACGGCCCAAGAGGGCGCCACGACGGCCCCAAAAGAGAACCCCCAAATGGCTAAAATGGCACCAAGACTGCAAAAGAGGGGCCCGACACAGCCCAAGAGAGCCCCGAGACAACCGAGGAGGGCCCCGACGCACCCCCAAAGCTGCCCCTCGAGAGCCGAATACAGCCCGTGGGCGGTGCTCGCAGGGTCGACACCCAGACTGTTGCAAACGTTGGGTACAGCCCGGGAGGGTCTATACACCATCACGGGGTCAACGCTGGCCTTGGCCGGGAATGGTGGTGACGCGCACCAGCGGTATCCGCTGAGACCTCCGAGTGAGACAGCATCTTGAACCAAAATGGCCACATAGAGCAGGGTAAGAGTAGATCAGAGAAAAGTACAGAAGGATAGAGTAGGGGAAGGTAGTACAATAGGGTCGAATAGAGATAATTAGGGCCAATGTTAGAATACAGTCGGGTAGAATTGGGTTGAGCAGATCAAAGTAAAGTAGAGACGATGCGAGCATATGAAAATAGAGTGAGCTTGAAGCATAGTAGAATAGGAGTAGAGCAGAGTAGAATAAGAGTGGAGTGGAGCAGAGTAGAGGAGGCCAGGTTAGGGTAGGGTAGAGCAGAGGAGAGCATAGTATAGTAAGGCAGGGTAGCTGGTTGAGTAGAGCCAGGTAGAAAAAGAGTAGGGCCGAGTAGGGTCGAGCAGCGTAGACGCCACAATAAGATTTCCACCCTTCACCTGGGCTCAGTTCGTCGCCCCGGATCCGTTCCTGATGGCCCAGGGCCCGAAAGCCCCCAGAGGCCACATCAGGAAACAGACGCAGAAACTGAGGAACAAGCATCGTCGGAGATCTGGGTGTGCTTGAGCAAGGAGCGACCGTCCTGGCATTCCTATAGTCATACCACGAAATGTTCTAGAACCCAGAAAAGTTCTAAGAACAAAAACAATGTTCTCAGAACGTAAACCCGATTTGATAAAAACAAGACAGACTCCGCCAGAAGCGTTCTAAGAACATCTCGTGGAAACCACAGAAGGTTCTCATAACATTGCTTGCTAGGGCTTTAGGCGAGCCAGGACGCGTCGCCACTGCTTCACGTGCGCCGTTGCCCCCCTGTGCCACCTCGTAGCCGGGCGTCGAGGCCAGGGCGTTGGACACGAGGCCGCCGCCGCAGCCGATGTCCAGCACCCGCAGCGGCGCTGCCGCGGCGGGCCCGAGCACGCCGCGGAAGTACTCCACGCGCGCGGGGTTCAGCCGGTGGAGCCCGGCTCCTGCCGGAGGGGCGGCGACGGGGTGAGGAGGCAACTGCCGGGAGGCTTTTCGTCGGAAAGAGAAAGGAGGAGTAAGCCCCATTTGGGAGCTACTACGCCAGACTGGGCCTCGGACTATAAGCGGGATTGGGCTGGATGAAACGGGATGGAGCGAGATGAGGCGGGACGAAGCGGGATGAGAAGCCGGATTTTGAGCCGGACGCCGGGCCAGCGCAGAATCAGAATTAGACCTCCCAGGAGCTGCATCCCAAGACATGCGACGTCCTGATTTTTTCAGGACGGCGTCCACAGAAGTCCAGACCCTTTCCCCAGGGCCGGTTTTTCGTCCCGAGTCGTTTTTTGACGGTCCCGAGGCCCGGCGAGGGCCCGCAGGGGCCGAAAATAGCGAAAAACCCTCCGTCCTGATTTTTTTACGACGCCATCATGTCTGGGTCCCAAGACATGGGGGGGGGGGGGGGGGCGGACCTGCACGGGGGGGGGGGCCTCGGGCCGGGATGGGCAGCACATCGCCGACGGGTGGACCTGCGGCAGCAGGTCACCCACGGGCGGGGTGGGCCGTGGGGCCCCCCTCTGAAGAGGGGGGGGGCAGCACGGGGGCCGTGGCCAAGGCTGGAGCCGGAAGCATCATGTCGATCTTTGAAGGGGCCCCAGGACACACAAATAGATACACAAAAATAAAAGGGATTCCCCTATATGTTCCCCTAGCATCGGGGTTTGTCTTCCCCCCCACTTCCCATATGTTCCCACATTTTCTGGGGAATCGAAGATTTAATTGTGTCTGTGTGTTTCTTTTCCTCCTGAATCTTGGCAAGCGTCACTTCGTTTTGGACGCCCGAAGTGGGTACGGAAAGAACGGGTACAATGCTCAAAAACAAATGTTGTCCCAAACCAGCAGCGGCCGCTGTTGGGCAGGCGGCCCTCTGTCTCAAATGGACACAGGCCGCGGCGACACCGATAGCGAGTCCTGTTCAGAATGGACAGGAACTGCTGTTGGGCATTGTACCCATTCTTTCCGTACCCATTTCGGGCGTCCAAGTTCTTGGGCCATCCCCGCGAACTGGCGACGGCCGGCATGGAGCATGACCAAGATCGACATGGACAAGGTCATGCGACATCTTGGTCATGGTCCCCCTGCTTCTTTTCTCGACTATCGACGGTGAATGTCTGCGAGCGACTCCGAACGATGTGGTTTGCAAAGGACGTGGTTTGCAACTGGCCAGCCTCCTGGGGCGGCACCCTGGGGGTCTCCGCGCAGCGCCCCGAGGAGGCCCGACGAGGACAGAGCCGTGCTCCCCAGGCCCCAAAGGTGCCGATCGCAAACCACATCCCTGCGTGACCAGACAGTCAAAAACCCTAAGAAGGACGCGCGGTAAGGCCGCAAGACCCTTGGAAGCCGAAGTTGGGATTTCTGGGGCGGCGGACGACGAAAACCTCAAGGACGCAAGAGCAAGGAAAAGCAAGGACGCAAGGGTACCCTGAGCAAAGTCGCGCGTCCATATTTGGGTATTTGACTGTACCGTTTGTAAACGCCGTGGATGTTGTTGGCGGCGCGCACAATGGGGATAGGGGGAGGGAAGAGGCTTCTTCGAAGGAGGCCGTTCCTTAGAAGGCACCGGCCCTGCATCCACAGGCGAGGCCCGCGCCTGCAAAGAGGCAGGGGTGCTCTTTCAGAAGCCTTCCGCCCTCCCCCTACCCTTAGGTCGAGCGTGACCTCCTACAGGCAGATCTTGGACGGACAATTAAGGATAGTCAAACAATGCTCAAACATGGCCAAAAGAATACTCACAAACCGTCCCCAGGTTATTTTCTGACTATTTTAGGATATTCCTCCTGTAGAGGGACGTGCCCGACTTAACCCTGCCCCCCTCTTAGCGTTGCTTGTTGTAGCCGCCAGGCATGGGCGATTTGGCATCGATGCGCCCCCCTGGACACAAGCTCCCGCGGGCCTCTCGCGCCGGCGCCGAGGCGCCCCTCCCCGCACCCCGGCCTGGCGCCTCCAAACGCGCGGAGGGACGAGGTGCTGGGAGGAACGCTCCAGCTGAGCATCGCTTATCCGCTCCCTGTCCCCATGGGCGTGGCCTGGGCCCCACTGGCCGATTTGCCCCTCTAGGTGAGGATATGGGCCGCTTCCTCCGGGTTTCCAGAGATATTTCCCCAACTGGTGTGCTGAGATGGTGAGGGTCTGGATAGGGATGGGGATGGGGATAAGGGGTCGGGTAAACACTGACCAGAGCCGACCGGGGAGGGCCGCGCGAGCCGCCGAGGATGCATGCTTACTAAGACGAAGCCGGGACGAGGACAGACTCGGGTGAGGACCGCGAGGGCCGCCCAGGATGCATGTTCCTGCAGCCTGTGCTCGTCTGCGTCACCCAACTGCACGCCTCGGGCCTGCAGTTCGGCGGTGGACAAACCTCCCTTTAGTAAACCTCGCCTTAGTGACAACGGCCTGGGACCGAAACCGACGGACCTGGACCCGCAAAAATGACGGCCGCGACGCCCTCTCGCGAACCGGACTGGCATCCGCACACCCTCCCCCTCCCCCCTCTCCTCCACGCTCCCCACTTGGCCTGGCATCCCCACCCCGGGAGAGCTCTGTTCTTGGAACCCCCGACCAAACGATTTCTCGCCCAAAACGGACCGATACCCCCCACCACGCCTCCACCACGGCCGGGCATCCGCACACCCTCCCCCTCCCCCCTCGCCTCCATGCTCCCCACTTGGCCTGGCATCCCCACCCCGGGAGAGCGAACCCCCGACCCCACGATTTCTCGCCCAAAACGGACCGATAGCCCCCACCACGCCTCCACCACGGCCCGGCATCCACACACCCTCCCCCTCCCTACCCCCCCGCCTAGAAAACGGCCAATTCCTGAATCGACGTGTCAGGGTGCGGCGTCGTGCGGCCACCTTCGCGCGCTCGCGCCGCCCCCCTGTTGCACGGCAGCTCCCGAGCCTGGACCGCGGCGCGCGCAGCGCGACCATCCTCGCGCGCCCGCGGGCGACGGTCGGCTGCACGCGGGAGCGACCCTGGGCGAGAGTGCGCCTCGGTGCGCGACGTTCGGGGGCCGCGGGGTGCCGGATCCGAGCGCGCAGGCGCGTCCTGGGGGTGCTCCCTGTGGGCCCGCGCCCACGGCCACTCTGGTGAAGGGACACTCCTGCGGGTGGCCGAGACTTGTGCTCCTCTGCCTGTGGAGCCATCCAGCGACGGCCCGGCGATGCCTCGGCGCGGTCGGCCGTGGCGGAACTCTGGCTCCGTATCGAGGCGCATCGTCGATGCATCGTCGATGCGGAGCGACTCCTCCTCCTCCTCCTCCTCCTCCTCCTCCTCCTCCTCCTCCTCCTCCTCGCCCTCCTCGCCGTCGATCCCTCGACCCCCATCTGCCCGGACCCTACATCTGGGAGGCCCAGAGATCTGGGGCTCGCTGGCCTGTGGAGCCGTCCGGCGCCCACTTCTCGGCAGCGTCGTACGGGCTGACGTTGTCTATCCTTCCAGGAGGGTCAGGACTCGCATCGATCCGCCGGATCGGCGACCGAGATGGAGCGGATGGGTGCCTCTTCCTCCTCTGAGAAGTCCGGATTCGGATCAAAACGGATCTAGTAACCAGCCTCGAACTCATCCCTACTCCTACGATGGGCGAGCAAAAAGCAAGGTAATATAGGAGTATGTGTGTGTGTGTGTGTTGACTTTGCTCGAGCCCGCTCCTCACGTCCTGCTCGGAGAGCGCCGCCAGGCGGTCGGCCAGCGGCCGCGGGCCCAGCAGCCAGGCGAGGCCGCAGGACCCCGAGGCCGCCAGCGCCGCTCCGCTCCACAGAGGCGCGCGCATGCTGGCCGGGGGGGGGGGGGCGCGGCAGTTGATGGGGCGATTTCCACCACCACTACCATAGGTTGGAGAGGGAGGAGAGGGAGGAGGAGGAAGAAGGAGGAGGAGGAGGAGGAGGAGGAGGAGGAGGAGGAGGAGGAGGAGGAGGAGGAGGCGGAGGAGGAGGAGGAGGAGGAGGAGGAGGAGGAGGAGGAGGAGGGAGGAGGGAGGAGGGAGGGGAGGAGGGAGGAGGGAGGAGGGAGGAGGGAGGAGGGAGGAGGAGGAGGAGGAGGAGGAGGAGGAGGAGGAGGAGGAGGAGGAGGAGAGGGATGACCTCCCCTATCATCCATTCTCCCCCGTCCTACCGAAGGTGGTGGTGGGAGATTTGCCCATCAGCTGTGGCCGCTCCCTCTTGGACCCAAGGTCACGAGGAGGAGAAGGCACCGATCCCGCTACCCTTCCTTCGCTTTCTCCCTGGCCCTCCAGGAGGACCCTCGTCGCCACCGCTGGAGTCGTCGCCTCGGCATTCGGGAGCGGCCAAGAGGGGTGTGTCCAAGAGGGGTGGGGGGGGGGGGGCAAATCGTGACCGGCGGCATGTGCGCGGCCCAGCGTTGGGGCCAGGGACGTGATGAAACAAGAAGAGGCGCCGTGAAATCTGGGGAAATATCATGGCCCCCGCCATGATAACCAACCCCCCCCCCCAGTCATCACCCCCCTCTTTGCCGCCCCCGACCATAGGAGTGTAAGAAGGCACGCGTCGCGAGGCACAGGACACGAGGGCACCCTCGAGCTGGCAGGGTCGACCTACTGATCCAGGCCGACTGCACAAAGTGCACTGTGCGACCCCATCTGGATCGTGTGCGTGCGTCCCGCGCTGCGGTCGCCCCGCGCCCTGGTTTCAGCAGGGGCTGCGCTGCCGGCGGGACGCGTGAACGCAGCGGGATCGGGCGCCCCAGCTCGGATGCTGCCTGTGTGTTGGGAGGGTGGGCGGGAGTGAGCGGCACGGCTTGTGGCGTGGGGTACCTAGCTTGACCCATCCCCCTACCCCACCCACTGCGTCTGGATGGGGGAGGGGCGGTTCGTGAAAGCGTCCAGTATGGCCGGCGATGGTTCCAAGATGGCCCCCGGGGGGAACTCGAGAGGACCCCCAAGATGGCTCAAGATAGCGCAAGTTCTCACAAGATGGCTTCCAACATGCTCCAAGGGGCCGCAAGACCGTCCAGAGACGGCTTCTGGTGCAGGGCGTAGCCCACGACACCCCCAGACGGCCGCAAGATCCCCCAAGGATAGCCCGAATACCACCACGGGATAGGCCCGAGGAACTCCCCACCATCCAACAGGCGCACGCGATATACAGACCCACCGAAATTTTCAGCGCCCGAAATGGGTACGGAAAGAATGGGTACAATGCCCAACAACAAATATTGTCCCAAACCAAAAGCGGCCGCTGTTGGGCAGGCGGCCTTCTGTCTCGAACGGACACAGGCCGCGGCGGCGTGGACAGCGAATTCTGTTCAAAATGAACTGGATCTGCTGTAGGGCATTGTACCTATGCTTTCTGTACCCATTTCGCTCGGGCCGAACAGTGTTGAACACGGCGGCCCTCTTGGACACGCGGGAGACGTGGTTCGACGTGCTGCGGCTCTCTCCAGGCCTTCTCGCGTGCAGCGGCCTCCTCGAGCACCCAGAGGAGCGTGCCGCGTCTTCGGGCACGCCCCGCCCATGACCAAACTCCGCTCAAAGCCACCCCCCCACGCCTGGCGAGGAGCAGGATGAGAAGAGATAGGGAGGAGGAGGAGGAGGAGGAGGAGGAGGAGGAGGAGGAGGAGGACAAGGAGGACGACGACGACGAAGGAGGAGAAAGGGAGGAGGATAAGTGAACAGATCGCGCCAGAGCACAAGGGCCCCTCCCGGCAAGCTCCTTGAGCTGACCACACACACGGCCTTTGCGACGAGAACTTCCAGAGGCACCCAAGACGCCCACGAGCCCTGACCCGAATCGACGACGGCGTTGCCGTCGGCATCGCTGTGGACACGCACCTTTTGCCGATTCTGGAAGCCCTGAGCTCAAAAATGTTGCTATCTCTTCGGGACGCATCTTTACTTGCTTTCAAAGACGCTTCGTGAGAGGCCTGGTTCAGAACTCTACCGAAATCGGCGCATCTGAAGCTTCGTCTTGTGGACGAGGTCGGGCCCCGCAACAGGAGCGGTGAGCCGCGGGACGCGATTCGCCACGGCCCCACACTCGCGCGCCTCTGCCGGCTTCCGCTGGTGGAGGCGGCCTCGTTTCGCTCCCGCGGGCTTCCGCCGACCTTCCGCCGAGGAATCGCGTGCCAGCTCTTGAGCCGGGACCGACCGCCCCGGCATTCCTTGAGGCCTCTGGGAACCCAGACATTCCCCAAGAACAACACATTTGGTGGGCCTGTCGGCACGCCGGGACGCCTCGCCACTGCTCGAACCTCCTTCGCCCCTCGGGAGCAGGGACCTTTTATGGAGCGCTTCACACGACGGCGGCCTGACCGTCTTCCCGCGGGCCACATGAGCGCCGCCCGGGCCCAGGGGAGCTTGGTGTCTAGCCGCGTTGGTCTGCAGACGCCCCGCCGAGACGGGGGGTAACTGATTCCTTGTTCGGCGGACTTATTGAAGAACTGGGGTCCCGCCACTAGGGGGTAGCTGATTATGCGTTGTTCAGCGGCACCCGCCGCGCAACAACGACGACGACAGCTACGACTACGATTGCGACAACGACTACTACTACTCCTACCACAACCACTACTACTACTACTACTACTACTACTACTACTACTACTACTACTACTACTACTACTACTACTACTACTACTACTACTACTACTACTACTACTACTACTACTACTACTACTACTACTACTACTACTACTACTACTACTACTACTACTACGACTACTACTACTGCTGCTGCTGCTACTGCTACTACTACATCGAGTATAAGGACTCCTACTAGTGCTACTACTACCTACTACGACTACTACCACGACTACTAGTACTACTAGTACTACTAGTACTACTAGTACTACTAGTACTATTAGTGCTACTAGTACTACTAGTACTATACTACTACTACTACTACTACTACTACTACTACTACTACTACTACTACTACTACTACTACTACTACTACTACTACTACTACTACTACTTACTACTACTACTGCTACTACTACTACTACTACTACTACTACTACTACTACTACTACTACTACTACTACTACTACTACTACTACTATACTACTACTACTACTACTTCTACTACTACTACTACTACTACTACTACTACTACGACTACTACTACTACTACTACTACTACTACTACTACTACTACTACTACTACTACTACTACTACTACTACTACTACTACTACTTCTACTACCTCTACAGATGCCTCAGGAGAGCTCTCACGGAACATCCTATCTCAGAAACATGATTATCGGAAACTCTATCCTCGGAAGCTCCATTCTCGGAAGATCCAACCTCCTCCTAAGGAATGGCACGAGGAGGAGCGGGATGAGGACGAGGAGGCGGACGAGACGGAGGAGGAGCAGTAGGGGGAGAAGGGGAGGAGGAAGAAGAGGAGGAGCAGGAGGAAGAGGGAGCAGTTCGATGACCTGTCGTATTCACCGCCGAGAGACCAGGGGGGGAACCAAACAAATAAAGACTCTCAGAGGTTGCCCTGCTCGTTTGCGCCTCTCCTGGGGTCAGGGCTGGCCACCCCCCTTCTCCCTGCGGTGCCGCAGCCAGGACCGTACGAGAGAAGGGCGGCAAGACCTCCGCCATGCCTGGCCAGTGCAGCCCCGAACTGGATCGAACCGCGAGATCGGCTGGCATCGGGCACGGATCGGATCGCCGGCGACCCGTCCCGAGGCGGATCGAATCGGCATCGGATCGCCGCGCCTGGCTCCTCCTCCTCCTCCTCCTCCTCCTCCTCCTCCTCCTCCTCCTCCTCCCCCCCCCCTCTTCCTCCGAGCCTCGGCCGCCGAGATTGGGGAGACCGAAAGGTACCGATCCTTACCAGCCTGGAACATATCCCTATCCCTATGCTGGGCATCTCCTCATCACGATGCCAATCTCAAGGATTCCCTTCTTTTTTAAGGGCGCATCCGTAAGGTTGTCGTCGCCTTTTGGCGTGTCAGTCTTAGGGATAGGGATAAGTTCGAGGCTGGTAAGATACCGCGACTCCCCGGATCGCTCCCAGGGTGCGCTCTGACCATGCTGGCGAATCGAGCCGAATCGAGGCGAGTGCGAATCGCGGCCCAAGCAGGCAAGCCTCAGGTCGGGCATGACCCCATACAGGCGGATTTGGGACGAAGGATTCAACACATTCACACACGATTCAAGAATGTTTTTGTTTTTTAAAAAAAAAACAAAAAAAAAAAAAAAAAAAAAATCGTCCCCATACTATTTTGACTATGTTCTAATATGTTCTGTAGAGGGACGGGCCCGACTTCAAGCAGGCCCGATCGAGTCGAATCGGATCCGTGGGCGGGCCCCTGCGAGGGCCGTGCTCGTGGGCCCTGGCCGAGCGTCACCGTGGCGGTGCTCGGACGCCTTCCGCTGTGAGAGGGGGAGCGACAGCCGCAGCAGGAGCGACAGGGGAGGAGAGGGGGAGGAGAGGGGGAGGAGAGGGAGGAGAGGGAGGAGGGGGAGGAGGGGGAGGAGGGGGAGGAGGGGGAGGGGGAGAGGGAGGAGAGGGGAGGGAGGAGAGGGAGGGGGGGGAGGGGAAGGACAGGAAGGAGGAAGCGCAGACCGAAAGGCAACGACACCCCTACAAGGTCTCCCCCACAGTGGAGAATAACTACTTATGTTTACGGCGGCCTTATTGAAGAGCTGGGGTCCCACCAATAGGGGGTAACTGATGTTTGTTTGTTCCGCGGCACCCGCCTCTCAACAACGACGACGACGACGACGACGACGACGGAGGAGGAGGAGCAGGAGGAGGATGGAGGAGGAAGAGGAGGTTTTAGGGCCAGTTCTATGCACCGCCGAGAGAAGGGGGGGCAACTTAAAGATCTAAGTGGTTACCCGTACTCCCTGGACCTATACCGGAGAGCGCTCTGACGAGAACGCCGAGGCGGATCCAGAGGTGGCAACGAGGGCCTCCCAGGAGGCTCAGGAAGGCGACAGCGGGGAAAGGGTAACCGTATTGGTACCTTTCTTCCCCTGAGGGGAAGGGAGGGGGAAGGGTTGGTGCAGGAAGCGATATCGGAGATTTGGACGCCCGAAATGGGTATGGACCAAAATGGGTACTACAATGCCCAACAACAAGTGTTGTCCCAAACCAACAGCGGCCGCTGTGGGGCAGGCGGCCCTCGAAATCCCGCAAGACCTCACCGCACGGTCCGTCACCGCACGGTCTTGGGACCCCGGAGGCCCCTGTCGCCCGAGAAGTCCTCGGAGAACAGCCCGAGTGCCAAAACCGTGCGGTGACCCCGAGTCCCCACCGACTCACCGCACGGTGTGGTCACCACCCCGTGTGGGGGCCCCCGACGTGCCGAGGAGAGGGCCCGCGCTGCATCCCGGGGGCCTGCCCGGCGGCGAAGCGCGGGTTGAACAGCACGGACTGCCCCGTCCTGGGCCGGGAGCAGCCCAGCGCGGATCCGAGCAGTCCGCGCGGATCGCCGAGTTGTTATGTTTACGTCGTTGCTTGCTCCCAAAGAGGAGGAAAGGGGGGAGGGGGAAGGAGGGCGAAAGCACTGGATGGTGGCCATCGGCACCCAAAAAGGTGCGACGGTCGATGCCGTGAGGGCACTTTTCAGTGCGAGCGATGTGGCTCGGGCTTCACCACTTCACGGCGCGGTGTACCAGCCGCGGGGGGACACGCTGCCTGTACGAGTATGTCTCGCGAAGCGCTAACAGCAACTGGCGGCTGGCCAGGACGCACCGGTCGGCCCTGACCCAAACTTCGTTCGCTCAGCTCCCACCAAGATGGGCCCACGCACGTGGGATGCGCGCCAACGCAAAAGAGTTGGAATTCAGAGCGACGCCTTGAAAAGAAGGGAGCGAGTGTGGGTAAGGTGAAGTCAAGTGCACTTCAGGATCATCGACTCTGAGACGCCGCTGACTGGGTATGGACTCCAGCCGCCTGCCGCCGGCAAGATGCCGCTTCGAAGCAAACCCCAGGGCGAGTGCGATGCGATGGTGCGCTTTCTGCATTGATGTGGAGGGCACGCCGGCCGCAGCGACGAGGCCTTGCACCAGAAAATCCCTCCGCACGCCTCCATAGGGGGCCAACAAAAAAAACATACGCGCGCAATCACGTACATGGATGCGGCTCCCGAGTCCGCGAGATCAGCCTCGTGATACGAGCGTTCGCGCAATGCGTACTTTCGAAACCGTGGGTTATAATGTACGTGTACAAAAAACAACGTGAGCAACAGAACGCTATGCCCCGTTGTGCGTCTGGGGGGGGACACTTTTCGTTGTACTAGTTGTCGGCGCAGACTCCGCTGCGCACTCATAGGAAACATATGAACCAAAAATTGTGTTACCGGTGTTGGTGCGGTGTGTGTTGCGCGTGCCTTGGATGGTCGGAGTGCTTTGCTTGCACCGCTAAAACAAATTACACCAGAGAAAAACTGCAATCAGTGGAAAGTTTTCGCTGAGGAGATCGACTGGAACCCGGGAGCCCGGGAACCCACCGAAATCGGCCCGGAAAAAATAACCAGGAACCCGGGAGCCCGGAATCAGGAACCCGGGAACCCAGCCTGCTACCAAAATTGGCGAGAAACTTTCACCAAACCTTTCAGCTTCCGCCAGGACCCCTGCAGTGCAAGCACTGATTGGGGAACTAGCATAGGCGAGCTCGTTGGCGACCAGGAGACCACAGCTATACCTCCCCAGGGACCAAAAGAAGCTCGCCCCCGAGCTCGGGAGCGGCCAAGAGGGGGGTGTCCAGAGGGGGGGGGGGGGGGGGGCAAATCATGACTGGCGGCATGTGCGCGGCCCAGCGGGGGGGCTGGATACGTCATGCAGTAAGAAGAGGCGCCATGAAATCTGGGGAACTATCATGGCCCACGCCATGATATCCCCCCCCCCAAATCATCACCCCCCTCTTTGCAAGGGCCCCCATCTTCGCGCTCCGCGCTGCGCGAAGCGCAAAGTGCGAAGTAACTTCGCGCCCTCGCGCCGCCCCCCAGGGGAGGAGAGGAGGACGAGGAGGACGAGGAGGACGAGGAGGACTCGGAGCCGCACCGCGGAGCGCGACGCGCGAACAGCTTCGCGACCCCGAGGGCGCCCCTGTCTCTGCCGCCCCCGACGAGCCGCGACGGGAGGGGATGCCCCCCCCCCCCCCCCCCCCGGGAGCGGGACGGGGCTGGGCTCGGCTTAGGTCGGGCCTGTCCCCTACAGGGGGATGTTCGACGAAGCACAAGAAGTGCCCCAAGAATCACCAAAAGATAGTCCACAGGTAGTCTGGGGACTATGTGTTGCATATGCTTTGACCTTCTTGGAGTATTTCGGGGGTACTTGTTGGAGTATGTCTGGGGTATTGTTATGTTGGGGTATGTTTTATTTGTCGTCGAAAATCCACATGTTTTTTGGGGTACTTTGGGGGGTATTTTTATTTGGGGGTACTCGTTGAGGTATTTTGTTGACCTTTTTGGGGTATGGTTTCAAGATATGTTTTCTCATTCGTCGTCGAAACTCCCCCTGGAGGGGGACACGCCCGACCTGAGGCTCGGCGGCGGGCCCCTCGCCCGAGAGCGCCCCCCCCCCCCCCAGACGCCGAGGCGCCCCTTCGGGCGGCGGAAACCGCCCTGCCCCGCGGCGCGGGGCGCGCGCGGGCGGGGGCAGGATCGTGGTCCGCGGGGAGGCGCAGAGAGAGAGAGAGAGAGAGAGAGAGAGAGAGAGAGAGAGAGAGAGAGAGAAAAAAGGACGGAGAGAGAGAGAGGGAGAGAAAGAGGGCGAGAGAGAGAGAGAGGGGGAGGCCGGACAAGTAGGCGGACCAGGGTCCGTCCGCGAGGCGCACTGCGGTGCGACAACCCGCAAAACACTATTAGCGGCGGTGCAGCCTTAGGATACGAGGGCGGGCAGAGACCCCCTCCCCCGGCGCATTGCGTCTGAAGCTACGGACGGCGGACAGACTGTGAAGATCTCACGTGTCAGACCGCGTGACGAAGAAGGCCCCAACAAGAAAGGCGACGTGCGGACACGTGGCTAGGCGGCTTGGCAGACCGCCAGTTGGGCGCTTGGCCGCAGCGCGGCGCGCAGGGACGGGGCACCCCCCGCCCCCACGCCCTGACACCGTGGACGCGGGGCCACGCGTGCACACGGGCAGGCAGAATGGCGGAGATTAGCGCGGGGCTCCAGGCGGAGCGCCGCGGAGCGATGACAGCATAGCATGGAGGGTGAGTGGCGGCGCAGCACCATCGGGCGGGGGTGTAAGCAGCTCGGCGAAGGCACGACCGGCGCGGTGGAGGCGCTGGAGCAAAGGGCCTTGACGGGCTTGGGCAGCGGCAAGGTCGGCGGCGAGAGCTGCGCACCTCTGCTGGAGAGCGGCCATAGACTGGGACAGCTCGGCTTCGCGGTCGGTGCGGGGCGGCTGCTCTGTGCCCGCGGCCGCGGGCCTCGCGGCGGGGACGAGGTCATCGGTGCGCCTGGCCAGGTGGTGGACCAGCGCGGTGCGGCGGTCCGTGCGCTGGCGGCCGTCGCCGTGGCGAGGCGACTGGAGGGTGTCGCGCGGTCCCAGGGCTGAAGCCGCTGGGGCCACGCCCCATGAGGACGGAGGAGCCGCAGCCTCGCAGCCTGCAACAGTAGGAGCGTGGACGGGGCGCGACGGTCTGACTGGCTCAGTGCCCTGCGGGGGGGCTGAAGCCGCCCCCGCGGGCTGGCGCTGGTGGGGGGACGGGGTTGGTGGCACGGAGGGGCCAATCATGATGCCGTGCGAGGGCTCAGAGGTCGGCCGCGTGACCGGGTGGCGACTCGATGAAGCGGCATCGTCGGCAGCGTGGGGTGTCGGCGGGACGTCGTCTATGCTGCCACCCAATCCGAGGGGATCATAAAAGTCCTCGTCGGCGTCTTGGAGGTGAGCGACGTCATCATGTGGGTGCGGTGCCGCTCTCGGTGGCGGAGTCGAGGTGGGCGTCGTGCGGATGCCCGACGGGGCAAGGTTGGCGCTGGCTGGCCCGTCGTCCAGGAAGTCTAGTCCCCCGCCGAAGCCGAACGGGTCGTCCTCCTGTTCGTCGTACATCGCCCGTTGTGCCTCGGCCCAGAGCTCGTCAGGGTTCTGCGGGATGTCTGGTCCAGCCGCAGGTGGTGCCTGGTCCGACAGCAGGGGGTTTGGTTCCATTTTGCTGAGTTCAGCCGCTGTAAACCCAGCCCTGCGGTGTGGGAGCGGCAGAGTACGGTGTCTGCGCTCGTAGATGGCGACAGCGACCCCGTGGAGCACGGTCGCTTGGCGATGTCGTGTTTTGGCAGCTTCAACGATGTCGTCGGAGAGGTTGTGCGTGCGTGCCGCCGCTGTGGCAAGGGCGTCGGCCTGACGGTTGAACTCCTCCGCGATGGGCCCGATGAGCCCAAGGTCGATGCCCAGGTCTCCCAGGTGGCTGGCGACTTTTTCGACGCGAAACATGTCGGGCTTGGCCATGACACATCGGTGAATCCTTGCCCAGAGCTCCGCGTGCGTGCCCTGCGGCGCTGGATGTCCGTCGATGATGCTTTGAAACCCATCGACCACCGCCTGGTTGTCCACGAAGACGTGCACGGGCCGTTCGGCACACGCCGTCAGGTGGACGATGGCAAGGGTCTCCGCAACCTGGGCGTTCTGCGTTAGGCCGTGAACGCGTGCACTGTAGTTCATGCGGTGGTCGATGCCGTAGTAGACGCCGTAGCCCGCTCGTGCTAGGAGTGGGATGGCTTGGTTGGTGCACGCACCGTCCGTGGCAGCATAGACCCATGTCCATCCAGTGTCGTTGTCAAGGTAGGTGGTGTAGGTGTCCTGGGCTGAAGCCGCAGGATCACCCTCAGGGGGGGGCCGCGGGATGGGCTGTGGCAGCGGGTCCCTCGCGAGGTCGGCCTGCAGGTCGAGGAGGGCTGGGTCTTCGTCGAAGAGCCCGCAGTGTCTTGTGTGCGGCGGAAGACGGGCCCACTGGTCGTCACTGATGAGGGTGGTGAGAGGAACTCTTTCTCGGGCCCAGCACTTACAGTCGCGGACAGTGTGCTCCTGAGTTTCCTCTTCCTCGTCGCAGTAGCGGCACATGGGGCTGAGGTCTGCCGACGTGTTGGATCGGGATCGTCGCTGTTGGGTGTGGTCCCCGCCCGACAGGTAGTTTAGGAGGAGCGCCAGCTGCCAGGCAGTGAATTTGGCTGCTCCTTTGGTTCGGGCGAGCCACGTGCTGGCGAAGAGGTCAAGGCCCTGTCTGACCGAGGCGAGGTAGCCAAGGTCGTGTCGCCGTGGCTTGATCTTCCGCAGAAATGCCCTGCGTTGTGAGGCCCGCAGCATGTGCAGGAAGGCGTTTTGGGGTAGATTCAGCCAGCTGATCGGGCAGCCCCAGTCATCGTACATGATGCCAAATGTGGGCCAGGTCCATCGGAGCTGCTGGAGCGACTGGACGAGTCGCCCGACGGGTCCTCC